AAATCCAAACGTCAATCGACAGAAACTGCGACAGAGAAACCAAAAACAAAAAAAAAACACAACAAACGGGGGAGTTTCTGCGCGTGTGGAAGAAGCGTGCGGGAGGAACGGCGAGAGATGTTCGCGCCCCTCGGCAGACACCATGCCGCACCGTCGAGGTGTATTGCCGCACACCCAGCGCACACACACATAGAGACGGACTGACAGCCACACACATTTCCCTTTTTTTGTTGTTGTTGCTGTTATTGTTGCCGCTGCTCCTCTGCCTCGCCACAAACTTTGTTTTTCTTTTCTTCCTTAGATATATATAGATAGAAAGATATTCTCTTTGTTCATGTTGTCCTGTTTCCTCATTGCCCTGTCTAGTTTTGTTCTGTTATATATATATATATATATATATACTTCCTCTCCCCGCCGCCCCTGGCGGGGGGTGTTGGCGTCGCGACAGCCACGGCCGCCGCGCCTTCCGTCCGCCCACTCCCCGTCAGGCACACGCACACAGACGCGTGGGCAGGCACACACAGATGCCGGTGCAACAGCGAGGAGGTGAAGAGAGCCGTCGGCGGGGTATTTATGCGCACGCCGCGGTGCATACATATGCAGCCGCCCCAGCTACCCACGTGCGCTTGATTCCTCACCGTTCCTTTTTTTTTTGCTTTGTCGCTTCTCTGCTCGCTCTTATTTTTCTTTTTTTTTTGCCTTTCGCATTCTTCGGTTTAATTTATTACGCCTCTCTGTTTCTTGTCGCCGCTTCGCCACTCACTCCCGTGACGCGTGGCGGGGTGGACCACGTGCGTGTGTTTATAAAAACAGTTCCATTATTACTGTTTCGCCCTGCCGCCACCCCTCCCTTCCCCCCGGCGCTGTTTCCTCCCTATCGCCAACTTCGTTTTTACTTTTTTTTTCTTTTTGTTACGTTTTGTCCTTGTTCCGTTGTGTGTGTGGGTGTAAATTGTTGCTTCTGTTGCTTTTATGATTGTATCCGGACACTTATGCACGCACAGGCACATATACACATAGATGTGCCTCTGTGTGTGTGTGGGTGGGTGTGTTAAACATGAGAAGGAAAAACACTCGCAGGTGTGTCCGTATGCCCCAGTCCTTCCGTCTCTCCTCTTGTCTGTCCGCTGCGGCGGCGGCGGCGGCGGCGGCGGCGGCGGCTGCAACGTCATGATGTGTGTTGGCCGCCGTCGGCAGCAGAGGCCGCAGCCACATGCCTGTGCACATNGAAGGAAAAACACTCGCAGGTGTGTCCGTATGCCCCAGTCCTTCCGTCTCTCCTCTTGTCTGTCCGCTGCGGCGGCGGCGGCGGCGGCTGCAACGTCATGATGTGTGTTGGCCGCCGTCGGCAGCAGAGGCCGCAGCCACATGCCTGTGCACATCTCATGCCACCGCACGCCCACGCATGCACCTCCTCTTGCTTAGTTGTTTTCTCCGCCGCCATTCTACTTCACTGTTGTTCCTTATCCCCCCCCCACCCAAACTCCCCGGCAGCGGATTCACTAATCTCTCCAACTGTCTTTTTCTGTCGTCAGCCTTCTGTTTTGTTATGCCTTTTCATTCTTTATTCTTCTCTCTTTCTCTGTCTCTCTCTCTATTCGTTCCCCCGTTTCACCATCTGCGTTTTCAGCACTTTCTCTGTTGTTGTTTTATTTATATTTTTTTTCGTGTTTGTCTGTGTGTGTGTGTCTTTGTGTGTGTGTGTGCACGGCCCCCGTGTCGCCGATAAGCTGCAGCAGCAACACCACACACGCCCACACACACACATGTACTGATATGTACACAGACGCATATGTTCACACACACACACACAGAGAGAGAGAGAGACACACATGCATAGAAATATATGTATATACATCATCGATGCTGGTGTGTGTGTGTGTGTGTGTGTGTGTCTGTGTGCGTAAACAGGTTTATTCCCAGTTCTTCTAAAGCCCCCACATCCCTTTTTTTTCCTTACAGTTTATGTGTCTGCGCCTCCCTCACCAGATGCGCCTGTCCGCTTATCACCAGTCCACCCTCTCTCCCATTCGATCACGTCTCTCTTCTCCTCCCTCTATTCCACACTCACGCCAGCTGTGCGCCATCACACCAAGAGTAGTCCCAAACGCCACCACCACGCACACATGCACACAGGCGTAGACACTGAACGTGAAAGGGGCGGCGCAGCCAACCATCTTAACGATGTGAATAGATGGCGCCGCCACGCTGTCCCCGTTGTCTTCCGTCCTGCCGCTGCTGGGCGCATCTCTGCACCTGCAGCGACTCACGTCATAATCTCTCGGCCTCGTTGTATATCTCTCAGCACGTGTGCGCCTCTGTGTACGTGTGCGTGCTGGTGCCGGCATGCGCTGATGAGTATGTGCGTGTGCGTTTGAGCAAAAGGTGGCGGCAGTGAAGGAGCACCAATAATAAACAGCGGCACACAATCAACGCGGAAACTTCCCCCGATGCCGAAAACAAAGCAAACAAACCAGCACCCCGCAAGGCGTTGGGCTCACTGCACACCAACAGCCAATCGTATCGCACACACAGCACGCCCGTCCGCGTACAGCGTAGCCAGACGGCGATCAAAAAGGCGCAGCCCCCGCACGCCCACACACGTGCAAGCATTGAGGGGGAGAAAAGAAACAAATGTCCACGCAGCCATGCGGTGAGTGGACGGAGGGGAAGGGGGGCCTGCACCAGCACACCACAGAGAAGAGCCCAGGGGTCCCTTGGAGCTGGGGCATGCGATGCGTGCGAGCTCCCCGCACTCCCCCTGCGGATTGCCTCCGCCCCTGCGTCTGTGGCGCCCCGCCCCTCCCCTCCGTGTCGCTGCGGCATGCAAGCGGCGCGGGTTGTTCTGCCGAACTGTCGCGTTGTGTTGCGGCGCGCGTGGCGGAGGACTGCGGGGAGTGCGCCGTGACGCAATCCCACACGAACAGAACGTCACCACGAGTGAGTGGGCGAAGCAAACAAACAAGCAAACCAAAAACAGAAAACAAAAAAAAACACAAACACACACACGATGAGCGGGTGGGGGGCGGCCGCACACACACGCACGCACTGATGGAGCGGGTGGCGGGTAGGCGGCGGGCACCAGCACTCCCACACAGCACGTCAATGTGAACGTCACCAACGACGGCAACAACACGCACAAACAAGGTGTGAGAGAGAGAAAGGCACAGCGCGTGAGTCTCCGAAGACGTGAACGCACAACAAAGCACCAAGGAGGAGACGAAGTGAGAAGGAACGAAGGCCGCCCACATCCCGCACGCGCACAGTACATGGGCCGCCGTCATCGCGCACCCCCCACGCCATCACCCCCTCAGCACCGCTGTTGTTGTTGCTGCTGCTGCTGCTGTGTCAGTTGCTCACATCAGGCACCACTGTGGCCGCTGCTGCTTCAGCAGCTGCAAGGACACACACATACACTCACGCACACGGCACAGCAACAGGGGCAACAGAAGCATTCTAGCAGAAACACACAAACACAAACGGAAGTACTCTCACCTGCGTGCCAGCGGGCCGTCGGCGCGAATGAATCTGGAGGAGGACAGGTGTGGAGGCGTGGCGTGGGGAGCATACCACGCTGGCTGCCGCCTGCTGTGGGGGTTCACGTGCACGACGCGTTCTCTGTCCCCGCATCTCGCCCCTCCTCCCTCTCAGTGTTCATGCGTATGTGGATGTGTGTGAGCGCGCGCGCCTCCGCCTTCCCCTCGCCCACCTGCCCCGATGCAGGAGCGCGGCATCCGCAACACGCACAGGTGTCGCTGTGCGTCCACGCCGAGTGACGCAAACAAAAAAAAAAATCAAAACCAAAAAAAAAACAAAGGAGGTGTGTGTGTGTGTGTGTGTGTCGCTGCTTGTGTGAGTCTGTGCGGAGGCTTCAATGACGGTGGTGAGGCTGCCACTGTGCCGCTGTCTGTTTACTCGGCTCACCGGCCTTGCCCCGCATTATTCCACACAACCACGCACGCACAAACTCTCTCTCTTTCCCTCCCGCTGTCCTCACGGGCGAATACGCGTAACTGCGTGCACCCCCGCCCCCAGCCCCTGACATTGCTGCTGCTGCTCCCGCCTTCCGTGCAGCTCCCACGCACTTACACGCATACATGTACAACCATAAAAAACGAAAAACCCGTGTTGTTCCCTCTCCTCATCTCCGCCCAGCACCCCGCCCTCTCTCCCCCGCAGGTCTCTCCCTGAGCGGCGCGTCGGGTACACTGTTACGTCGACGCCATGAGGTGCAGGAACTTCGCCGTCGCCTTTGACACGGAAAAGGTGCCGGACGTCTCGCAAGCCGCCAGCCGCCGCAATTGTGCGGCGACGCCGCTCCGCACCTCCTCCACCTCGTCACACACCTCGAGGACAAGCTGCAGCACATCCTCAAGACCTTCTGGCGCGGCCCCCGGTGGTTGCCCCAGTAGCCCATCCACAACTCCCTGCACGAACGGGATCCAAAAGCTTGTGGTGCACTCCTCCGTGGCACTGTCGAGGAGCGTCAGCCAGGCCGCCTCGTACAGCGGCAGGCTCATCAGCGCGCTGATTGCGCGCAGTTCCTTTGCCTTGCTGAGTGCCAACAGTGTGGCCCGCTCCACCGCGCACGGCTTAGCACCACACTTGGCGGTGCCGCCGCCGCCGCCGCTGCTGGAAGACAGCGGTGAGCCTACAGGTGGGACGGAGAGGAATGATGGCTTGTACCCGTTTGCGCACATCGGCGGCGTTGCCCGTGGCGTGGGCCGCAGTATCTGCCGCTCCAGCTCCTCCGCGTACTGCTCGTACACCGGCGCCGCGGGGGGCGGGAGACCGTGCTTCTCGTTGGTGAGCACCGGCAGGCCGGGCACCGAGTGCAGCATCCCCTTCGGACTGTTGGGGCCGTACACCACGCATGTGAGCTGGTGGCCGTAAACGCAGCCGGTGTCTATACCGTACGCAAACGGATGCTCCTGCAGCCCAGAGCGCGCGTCGTGGCCGAAGACGACAAACTCCGGTCCCTTCCAATGCTCACCCCACGGTTCTCCGCGGTTACCCTTCACAACCGCCTTCCACTTGGGCTTGCCACGGGCTTTCTTATTGTTGTTGTTGTTGTTGTTGTTGTCACCGCTGCTGCTGTCGTCGCCACCTACTTTCTCTAGCCGTCGCATGTGCATGATCTCAAACACATCCTGGTTCTCAATCGGGCTATTGAGGTTAAAACCNGCGTGCACCACCACGACGTTGTACTTCGGGATGCGCAGAACGTGCGGCAGTGAGCGCAGATAATCCTGGCACTCCTGGGGAAAGGAAGTGGCAAGTCGCATCACAGGATCACGCTCCTCCTGCAACGTGAGCTTCGCCTTGCGGCAGCGAACGATACAGCTGAGCAGCGTGTAGTCGTGGTTGCCCAGCACACCAATGGCGCCGAGTTTTTGCGCGAGTCGCACCGCCCCCACAGAATCAGGCCCCTTGTTGACTAAATCACCTGCTAGAATCAAGCAGTCCTTTCCCTGCTGGTAGTTCACCTTTAACATCAACTCCTCCAGCTGCTCGGGGCAGCCGTGGACATCACCGACAATGATGTATCGGTGGTCGCATGGTGGCGCGGTGCGGATAATTGGTTTCTGTGCGTTGAGATTATCTATAGGATGCAGCANCCGACAATGATGTATCGGTGGTCGCATGGTGGCGCGGTGCGGATAATTGGTTTCTGTGCGTTGAGATTATCTATAGGATGCAGCAGCTTAGAGTTCGTCGGGTCTCCGGCCACCACCGTCCACATGCTCACAACTTTGGACTCCTTGTCTGGCGCAGCAATCGCCACTTGGGGCGGCGTTGGTACAGCCTCCCGCACTGTTGCGATGGTGGTGGATGGCAGCGCACGCAGCAGCTGCTCCAACGTGGTGGAAGTCTGCGCTGGTGTGGTTACCGCCTCTTTGCCCTGCGCCTCCTCCAGCAGCTGCTGCTGCGATCGTGGTGTGGGGCGCAGCAGCCGGCTGGGCTTAATGTTGTTGGTGCTGCCAGAGGCAGCTCGGCTCAGCCTTGGGTTACCGGTACTGTTGCNTGGGGCGCAGCAGCCGGCTGGGCTTAATGTTGTTGGTGCTGCCAGAGGCAGCTCGGCTCAGCCTTGGGTTACCGGTACTGTTGCTGTTGTTGTTGTTGTTGTTGTTGTTGCGGCCGCCAAGAGCAACGAGTGGCGAGCCAGCGTCCACGTCGCCCCTGCCCTTGCCACTGTCGCCGCCCCCGCTGCCAGGCTTGTGCGTGTCCTCCTGCTCCTGTGGGGCCGCGCTGGGCTGCCGGCGCTCGTTCATAAAGGCCATGAGAGCACTAGCTACATTGGTGGGAGTGTTGGCGGGGTACATAACGGTGTCTCCAACACGCGCCCCGTTGCTCAGTTTCAGAGCGTTCAGCTGCGCAAGAACAGCACTTGGGTCCATTTTCAGGGTAGTCCTGTATGACGGTTCTCCTCTGTCGTCGTCCGTGTAAGTGTAACTGTTGATCGTGTATGTGTTTTTCTTCTACTTCCTCCTTTCTCGTTGGGGGTCCCACGCCGCTGTTATGAGCTGCTGCTTCTTTGGTCCTTTCCTTCCCTTCTGCTGCTGCTGCTGTGGCGGCGGTTACCGTTCCCCTTTGATTGTGTCTTCGCTGTGCGTCCTTCCGCGCCCTCCGTTGTGCGCTGCCGACTCGGGGGAGGAGTGGGTGTGTGGATGCAAGTTTAGCTTTGGGCGAGCGCCTGTCTCTTTGTTTGTTGGATTGGTTTCCTTTTTTTTGTTTGTCGTCGTCGCCTTCTTTTGTTTGTTTTATGCCCGCGGTCGTGTGTGTGAGTGTGTGTCCGCGTCTCCGCCTCCACGCCGGTGTTTGTTGGTGGTGTGCGACGCCCTCCGTCCGTCCGCTCGCCTCGCACTGACGGTGTGTTTGTGTTTCGGCGTCCGCGCACAGTGACTGGGGGGTGGACACGAAGCGCTAGATCAAAACAAAGCCAAAACAAACAAAAAGAAAACAAAACCCAAAAAGCGAAACAATAATCAAGCGTTCGTTGACTGTCACTTTTTTCTTTCTTTCTTTCTTTTTTTCCCTTCTTCTTACCTTCCTTCCTTTCCGTGTGCCTTATCACGCTGTGTGCTTCACTTGTTCTTCCTTCCTTCCTTCCTTCCTTCCCTTCGTGTTGGTTTTGTGTTGTGCTTCCTCTCACTCTCCTTGTCGTTGGTGCTGCTGCTTCCTGGTTTCTCTCCGGCGGCCTCACGTGTCGCAGTCACACGAGGTGGGGGAGCAAGCGTGAAGATGTTTCCTGGCTCTCTGTCGAGTTCTTCGACGGAACTGGCAGCAGCAGCAACAGCGGTCGTACATGATAACAGGCAACAGAGAAGAGAAGGAAAGAGAGAGAGAGAGGGGGACAGAGAGAAGAGATGGGTGGGTACGAGCTTTGGCGAGGGAGAGAGAGAGAGAGCGTGAATAAAGAGTAAAAAATAGCGCACGCGTGGGTGTACGAGAGAGTTAGAACACACACACACACACGCAGAGAGAGAGAGAGAGA